TTGATAAGTACTGGGAAGCTACAGCGCTCATTGAAATTCAGATCAGGTCCATGGTAAAGTTGTTTTTCAAGGAACAACTTCTACAGAAGCAAGGTTTACTATAACTGCAACTCAGTATGACCCCAGTTCAGCAAAGTACAGAAGCACATGCCTACTTTTAAGCACATGAGCAATTCCAATGGCTTCAGAGAGACTAGTTACATGTTTAAATATCTTGATGAACTGGGGCCAATAGCTATAATTGCAGTTTACATTTTGAAATACATTGACGCTATATGGAACTTTCATTCTACTTCATTATCCCCAAATTTACTATAAACAGGTTGTAATATACACTGCTACCTCGATATAACACGAATTTGGATATAACGTGGTAAAGCAGTGTTCCGGGGAGGCGGGGCTGCGCACTCCGGTGGATCAAAGCAAGTTCAATATAACGCGGTTTCACCTATAACGCGGTAAGATTTTTTGGCTCCCGAGGACAGCGTTATATCGAGGTAGAGGTGTATATTGTAACTGAATAGTGGATTTAGGATTTTTATTTTTTAATGTTTAAGCTATTAAAAATATAAAATGAAACATTTTTCAATATATTATTCAGTGTTGAAAGACCACATTTTTATTTTATTTTCTGCTTTACAAAGCTGAGAAATTGTCTCTGAAAATAAATGAATATTCATTAAATCTGAATGATGCAGAACAGTTGAAAATGGATCTACAGATTAAAGAGAGGAATCTAGAGGACTACTGGAAGAAAGTAAAAGAAATTTTACACAGAATAGAACTTCTTGAAAAAGAGCATGATGAGGTAGGCACATTTATTCAAAATACAGTAAACCTAAGCAAATCTCTCAAAAGAAAGCTTTCTCCTCAAGAGTTTAGGGAGAAGTAGGAGGAAATACATTAGATAATCTCAGTGAACTATAAAAGTGGGAAAGAATTGGACATCAGAGAAACTATGTCCTACAACTCTTCCCTTTGGCATTACTGTATATTATAAAAAGATAGAGATGAGGGGAGGCACTCAGAGAAGGAATGAATACAAAGTCGAGATCCTAGTTTTAGTGCATTGCGAGAAACTGTACAAAATATATTATATTGTAGAAAATCCAGTTCTGTAGTACTTAGTATGCAGTTAATCCAGGTTGAACAGTGTGGCAGAAAAAGAATACCCACTTTTTTTTAAGTGTCTTTAATGGGTTGTGCTCACCACCTCGGTGGCTCCTGTTGGTCACTCCAGGAATTAGCTCTGTCCTAGCCACAGAGCACTCTCTGTGGGTGGTGTCCCACCCACTGCCTGCTCGGCTGTGCTGTCTGGGACCCACGTTGCTCCCTGGCTTGCGGCATCCTCTTCTGGACACAGCCCTCCGGCTGTGCCCCTACTCTATTCTCCCCTCTTCCAGGGGGGTATCAGCAGTCCTCAGTCTGCACCTGCTTTCGTGCAGTCCTCAGGGACAAGGCACAGTCCATTGGCCATGCGCCTCTGTGGTAAAGTGCGCTGTAAGGGGGGAAGGGAGGACCCAGGCCCACCCGTTACTCTGGGCCCGATCCAGGACCCTCTAGCAGCAGCTCCCATGTCCCTCCTTCAATCCCCTCTTCTCCCTGTGAACCCTGGGCCACTTCCCCTTGGCCCGTGCACCTTCTTGGCCCATTTCCACATTTGTGTGTGAAATGCCTGTGCAGTCATAATAATTTCATGCACAAATGTGTACTCAAATTAAGCATCCAAATATCTAGCTCTAAACTGTAAACGCTTAAGCCTTCTTATGCTAGGACTCTGTTTATATCTTGTTTGAATTGATAGACCCAGGTAACTATCATGGTTTATTGAAAAGTAATAGTCTATATGTATTTCAAATTAATTAAAATGTTTCTTATGTTTCAAGGATATATGCAGCAACTTTCAAACTGTGGAAACAGTACATAGCCATCAAAAACAGTATCCAGCTAAAAAAGCTATATACTTTCTGTAACATAAGGGAACAAATCAGATAAAAAAAAAAGCCTTGTAATCAACCCTGTGATAGAAATGGAGATAAAGAACCCAAATTATGCCAAGTGACAAAGCTAGAAAATAGTTGTGTGAATTGACCTAGAATCATGCTAGAAAAGCTGTAGGCATATTGGTCTGAGTGTAACAGAAAAAGATGCTGAAATATTCAGATAGAGCGCATTAATGTATACAGATTATTCAGTGTTATATAGTACTGTATCTGTCTTGTTCAGCATGCAGTTCAGTCTTTCCTTGATGGTTTCCTATGTCTGCCATTACTATCTGGTCCCTTTAGGTAGTCAGTAGCCAAGTGCTCAGTGACTTAATTTACATGAGTCCCAGGCTTCTAGAACTGCTCTGTAATACGACCCAGTTTATTGCTTTCAGATCCAAGTTCTCACTAGGTTACAGTTCCTTTAAATTATTTCTCATAGCTTTGCTGGATTTCTTGTTAACAGTGTCTAACTAGAGCCAGGCACTTCTGCAGCTTTGTAGTTAACAGGGTCTACCCTCAAATTGCCCAGGTCTGTCTTCTTCTCACCCTACAGTAGGATTTATTAATGCTTTGTACAATCATTAACTGGTATTTTTGTAATATAGGAAACAGTAAGAAGACAAATATTTGTTGATATACCTCAGGAAGCAGTTATGCAAACGACATCAAAATACCATAAAATGAATGCCAGTGACCAAAAAGCAAACACTGAAAGAACACATACAAAAATGCAGTGTTCACAGCTAAATTGTAAGTCTGATGATTTGGTTCGTACTACATCTGCAAATAATCAGTCATCCAAAAATGGAATATTAGAGACTGTGAATCTAGTAGATGCTTCTACCAGAGAGAGTGAGCAAAATGTTACTCTGCATTCAGCTGATAAACTACACACAGGTAGTGTACAAAAAAGTCATACTACAAATGAACGAACTGCTTGTGAGAAGAAACAGTCTGTTCCTCAAGCAAGGTATAGTATTTGATGTCTCAATGCAAAGTAAAAATGTAAAGTTGCTGTTCACTTAATGAAAATTTCAAAATCAAAAGGTCATTTTATTTAATTATTTTTTACTAACTAGCTCTTTATTGTGAGAGAAAACAGACAACTTTTTGTCACCACAGCTTTTCTTAGGTGTAGATGTAGTATCTTTGACATCTTAGATCAAAGAAAATAGAATCTCAATGCAATAAAGAAAAAGGAAAAGCATTTTGTCTTTGTACTCTAGATGAAGTGGTTGCAGCTATCTCAAATGCATTTATAGGTACTATTTTAAAAATCTGATATAAGATTAAATATTTGAACTATAAAATCCATAATATTTTCCCCCCAGTTTTCTCTCACGTTTCTTTTCATAGAATCATAAAAGATTAGGGTTGGAAGAGACCCCAGGAGGTCACCTAGTCCAAACCCCTGCTCAAAGCAAGACCAACCCCAGCTAAATCATCCCAGCCAGGGCTTTGTCAAGCCGGGCCTTAAAAACCTCTAAGGATGGAGATCCCACCACTTCCCTAGGTAACCCATTCCAGTGCTTCACCACCTTCCTAGTGAAATAGTTTTTCCTAATATCCAACCTAGACCTCCCGCACTGCAACTTGAGACCATTGCTCCTTGTTCTGTCATCTGCCACCACTGAGAACAGCCTAGTTCCATCCTCTTTGGAACCCCCCTTCAGGTAGTTGAGGCTGCTATCAAATCGCCCCTCACTCTTCTCTTCTGCAGACTAAATAAGCCCAGTTCCCTCAGCCTCTCCTCATAAGTCATGTGCCCCAGCCACCTAACATTTTCGTTGCTTTCCGCTGGACTCTTGAATTTGTCCACATCCTTTCTGTAGTGGGGGCCCAAAACTGGATGCAATACTCTAGATGTGGCCTCACCAGTGTCGAATAGAGGAGAATATTCACTTCTCTCGATCTGCTGGCAATGCTCCTACTAATGCAGCCCAATATGCCATTAGCCTTCTTGACAACAAGGGCACACTGTTGACTCATATCCAGCTTCTTGTCCACTGTAATCCCCAGGTCCATTTCTGCAGAACTGCCACTTAGCCAGCTGGTCCCCAGCTTGTAGCAGTGCATGGGATTCTTCCTTCCTAAGTGCAGGACTCTGCACTTGTCTTCGTTGAACCTTGTCAGATTTCTTTTAGCCCAATCCTCCAATTTGTCTAGGTCACTCTGGACCCTATCCCTACCTTCCAGCATATCTACCTCTCCCCCCCAATTTAGTGTCATCCGCAAACTTGCTGAGAGTGCAATCCATCCTATCATCCAGATCGTTAATGAAGATGTTGAACAGAACTGGCCCCAGGACAGACCCCTGGGGCACTGACTGCCAACTAGACATCGAGCCATTGATCACTACCCATTGAGCCAGACAATTTAGCTAGCTTTCTATCCACCTTATAGTCCATTCATCCAATCCATACTTTTTTAACTTGCTGTCAAGAATACTGTGGGAAACCATATCAAAAGCTTTGCTAAAGTCAAGATGTATCACGTCCACCGCTTTCCCCATATCTACAGAGCCAGTTATCTCATCATAGAAGGCAGCCAGGTTGGTCAGGCATGACTTGCCCATGGTGAATCCATGTTGACTGTTCCTGATCACCTTCCTCTCCTCCAAGTGCTTCAAAATTTCTTGAGGACCTGCTCCATGATTTTTCCAGGGACTGAGGTGAGGCTGACTGTCTGTAGTTCCCCAGATTCTCCTTCTTCCCTTTTTTAAAGATGGGCACTATATTTGCCTTTTTCCAGTCATCCAGGACCTCCCCCCAACGGCCACAAGTTTTCAGAGATAATGGCCAATGGCTCTGCAATCATATCAGCTGACTCCCTCAGCACCCTCGGATGCATTAGATCTGTCCCCATGGACTTGTGCATTTCCAGGTTTTCTAAATAGTCCTTAACCTGTTCTTTCACCACTGAGGGCTGTTCACCTCCTCCCGATACTGTGCTGCCCAGTGCAGCAGTCTGGGAGCTGACCTTGTCTGGGACCGATTCTACTGGCCATGAATGAAGACTGATGTGGAGCAGTATTTTAAGACCCGTGCCTGGTGTATACAACGGAAGACTCTACCCACGAGAACTGCTCCACTGTTTCATCTTCATAGTGAAGGCCTTTTGGATTTGGTCTGTATAGATTTTCTCACAATTGAACCCGATAGCAGAAATACTTGTAATGTACTAGTCGTAACTGATCATTTCACAAGGTATACACAGGCCTTTCCCACTAAAGATCAAAAAGCTTCTACTGTTGCTAAAACTCTTGGGAGAAGTACTTTGTGCATTATGGGTTGCCCAAGCAGATGCACTCAAATCAAGAATGGGATTTTGAGAGTCAATTAATTCAGGAACTTCTGACTATGCTAGGTATAAAAAAATCTAGAACAACACCTTATCATCCACAGGGAGACCCACAGCCTGAATGATTTAATCGGACCCTGCTTAATATGTTGGGAACCTTGAATACCAAACAGAAATCTAGATGGAGCCAGCATGTTAGCCATCTTGAGCATGCTTACAACTGTACCCAAAATGAGGCCACTGGGTATTCTCCGTATTTCCTAATGTTTGGACGTGAAGCACAATTACCAATAGACCTCTGTTTTGGGGTCTCAGTGGATGGGTCTTCCCACAGTCTTACCTCCAGTATGTGGCTAATTTAAAAAAGGACTTGTGTGCTGCTTATCAACTTGCTCAGGTAGCATCTGATAAGGTGAACCGGGGCAATAAAGACTGTTATGACCAGAAGGTGCGATACTGTGATCTGCAACCCGGTGATCGTGTTCTGATAAAAAATCTTGGGCTCTCTGGAAAACATAAACTTGCGAACCATTGGGATTAGCAGCCCTAAGTTGTGGAGAATCAAATGCTCAGGCTACCTGTATATCACCTAACGCCTGAAAAGAATGGCGGCCCATTAAAGACTTTACATCGAAACCAACACGTCTGGGGCAACATGTCAGAATGGATGACCCATCAGATATCGAGCCTACCCCTCTACCCAGATCATCTAACCAAAGGACAACTGACGTCTGAAAGTTCCTCCCACAACTCCATAGGTGGTACTAATCCTGTGCCTGGCCCTGCTACCATGATGGACATAATTGGTCCCCCAATCAGAGACTGATTCTGAGGAGGTTTACCCTGAATATATATCTATGTATCATGAACCCTCAGATGTGTCTCCTGGGTCTGTTGTACTGTCACTTGAGCCAGATCAACCTGAAAGCGCAACTAGCACACCCCCTTTAAACCTTGAAGCTCTTTCTATTCTTTCCTATGGGAGAAGTTCATAGGGAGGGCGTAGATATATGCAACAATCCCCCTGTGTCTTCAAGTGTAGGGAACCAGGCTGCTACAGATGTTGCTCCTTCTACAATGAAGCCAAAGCTGACGAAGCTTTATTAACACCTCCTGTAGGGGAGGAAGAAGGGATGGCACAGCCCTTAAGGAGGTCCCAGCGAGAAGTCAGGTCCCCTCAGTGGTTAACATATGATGTGGTTGGAGACAGCAATGAGGTGTCCATCCCCACAGTACATCATGGGGTGGTTGTGCTGAAAGATTTTAAAACACCTGTGGAGTCCAAACCAGAATATGTATCCTCTGAGAATGAGCTCAAGTGTTTTTCGTGGTGGTGCTCACCTCAGGCTAGATGCCTAAATTGTGCCTCTTCTACTGGGCCTAAACTTTACCCTCCATTGAATGTTTTCCCAGCTAGCAGTAGAAATTAAGAATGTATGTATTATATTGTAAATTAATCTGGTTTTCTTCTTTGTTCTGGTTCCTTAATGGGGACATTAAGGATTTTTCGGGTTGGGGGAGAATGTAGGCACCCTTTACTAGAGGGGCCTCTGAACTTTATTGGGAGTGTTCCAGTTGGGAAGATCCTGTGTGATGCAATCTAGCCTTATAGACTACAACTCCTATGATGCTTGGGGAAAGGGTGAGAAACCTTAAATTAGAGTGAATAAAAGAAGACTCGGCACATCACTTCTGAAAGGTTGCCGACCCCTGGGTTAGACAGACACGTCAGGGATAGTTTAGCTATACTTGGTCCTGCCTCAGTGCATGGGGGCTGGACTAGATGACCTCTCAAGGTCCCTTCAAGCCATATATTTCTATTATTTTAAATGTTATTGTGAGATTTGGTTTTAACTTTCTTAATGTGTGTTTGATCTTTCCAGTGAACACTTGTTTAAACAGCCATCAATGACTGTTCAAAATCTGAAACAGGCACAAGTAGCAGGTACGAATAACTGAAGTATATTCTTTTTTTCCAGATAATGTTGTATGTTATGGATTGTTATTGGAAATAAAATATGATCCATATCGCTTACCTTTAAAGCTATATTTTATCATACAGTGTGTATCATACTGTATGTACACTCCCATTCCATTATGTACAGTGTTATAAATTTGTTAATATTTGCGTAGATTTGGAATTTTATATTAAATAACTATTAAAATGAGAATCTATTTCTTTTGTTTAGATTTTATCTTCTAAAATGTTTTACTTTAGTATTTTTTTGTAAAATATTTCTAACATTACACAAGATAAGTTTAGATAAATGTTTTCTGCTATGTCTGAAAACAATTTTGGATTGAGCAATGAAAGCCATCAATAGTACAAGAATTTGTTTTGACTTCTGCTCTAAATATTGGGTAGACAAAGGAAACAATCTTGTGAGCTGGCATTTAAGCATGTGTATTGTTCCATTTTGATTTCAGTGGGACTATTCGTGCATTAAATTAAGCACATGTGTAAATGTTTGTAGGATGGGGCGTAAGGGATTAGTGTTGATCTCTGCTTCATTATAGCCAGTGTATTTTTCATACTTCGGTTCTGATCCACCTAATCTTTATTCTTGAATAACCAATTGACAATTTAGAGGAGTAAGAATTTCTCATCTGAATAAGTGTTTGTGTGATTGGTACCTTAGAAAGGGCCAAATTGTGCTCTGTTACATCACTGTAAATCAAGCGTAAGGACTACTACATGTGTAAGGTTTTGGAGGATCAGACTCTAGATTTGAAATAAATACAATGAACCTGATATCCAACTTCATATCTATTTTACACAGTTGCACCAGGTAAAACTGGTATGATCAAATGAAAAAATCAGGCCCATTGCATACAATGAAACCAAGATAAGTACTGAATTCCCTGGAGTTAATCTGGATTTACACTAGAGTAACTGAAATTCCCATTTGACCTATAATATTTTTTTATTCTTTGCTGTTGTGTAAATTAAACATCTATATGTCTTCTAGAAATGTAAAATAAAATTGGACTTATGTATACTGTGGAGAAGTTACCACCAGAAAGACAGTTTGCTTTTTCCATCCTAGTGAAATACACTTTTTTCAAATTTAGAAACAGTTACATTTTGTTCAGACTCAACAAACAAGGAAATAAGTATTCCAATTACTTCTGCAACTCCTAAAATGACAGATTTAAGGTGCTCAGGTAAATGATATTTATCTTAGACTTTTTATTATGATTCCATAAAAATCTTTTTATGTCCCATCAGAAATACATTAAATTACTTGATATTACTTCTGATTTGACGCATCTACAATAGTAATAAATCTATTGCCTGTAGCCTATTTTTCTCCCCAGTAATAAAGTGTAATTGTCCCCATCTGCCACTGGGCAGATTGACCAGCCAGAGCAATCTAAATAAAGCCCACACGCTCAAGTTTAGGTCCACATCCTTTTCCCAAACAGAAGATTTGGATATTTTCCTGCTTTCTGTAAGCAGAAAGGGGAGAGAATATATTCTTTCTCTGCTAAATAGGTCTCCTGACTACTACATCCCCACCCTGCTCCACTGCTAACCCTGGATGTCTCACTACTAAGCATAGGCTGTCTCAGCAGTTGCTGCTTGCAACCTGCAGTCGCATAACCTGTCGTGTGCTTTCTGAACTCAGTCCCCTCAGCCTTAAAGGGGCAAGCCAACAAACTGGGATCTGTGAATTTGCCAAAGGACCAACACCCTGTCACAGACTCACACTATTTTTTTAAACTTATGTTAGTATCCAACTTGTCTAATCCTGTACGCATATGTTTGTGGCTAAATTGTAGCATTAAGTCACAGCCATTTTATGGGAACACTGCAAAACTGCATTGCTCCAGAGGGTACAGTGGCTATGCCACTATTAAAGTGGTTGTAGTATGCAGTGCCTTTCACTTCTCACACAGGTGTTAGAAGCATGCTGTCATCCCTCTCTGGCCACTATATACAGCTTAGTATTAACACTGTCTCTGGCCCTGGGCACAAGGACTTCTTGTACTTGTAGGGTGACCAGATCACAGGGATGAAATATCGGGACGCGGGGGGGGGGGGGGGGGGGGGGGGGGAGGGGGAAAAAAAAAAAAAAAACGGCGGCGGAGCAAAAAAAGTTTCTCAGTTTCGCAGGGGCCGGGGGCATTAGCAGGCCCCAGCCACGCCACCGGATCACACACAGTGCCCTGGCCGTGCGCACTGCCTTCCCCGCGGAACCTCCCGCCCCCTGGCCCGTCCCGGGCACATGCGTCCCGCCGCCAGCGGGGAGCCCCGCACCTATCCTGCTCGGCTGCGCTCCAGCGGCTCCTTCCCAGTGGGGCTCCCCGGCAGCAGCGGGGAAGTTTATCAGTTCGGGGGACCCCGGCCGGCTCCTCGCCCCTATCCGCCGGCCGCCCCGCCTGGGACAAGTCTCGCCCCCGCAGCCCTTCTCCGCCGCGTGTCTCCAGTGGGCGGCCCACGCCCCCAGGCCGCGCCGCCCACCCAGGCCCTGCCCGCTCTGCGCTGCCCCCAGACCCACCATGCTGCTCCATGGGCTGCAGGGCTGGAGCAACCTCCACGCTGCACTGCAGCGCTCCGAGCCCCGGCCGGCCATAGCCCGTGTGCCCAGGCTGCTGCACAGGGGCGTCTCCTCCCCAGGCCTGGCTTGGGATCCAATGGGGCAGTGAGGGGGCGGGGCTGGGGGCAGGGATTTGGGGAGGGATCCAATGGGGGAAGGAGAGGGCGGAGTCAGGGCGGGGGGGGCGAGAGCCCGTCCGGGCTCCGCCTGTGCGCCGGAGCGGAGGGCAAAATTGTTTGTCCAGTGTCAAAATTGTTTGTCAGTGACGCGGGACAAACAAGCAAATATCGGGACAGTCCCGACCGGGACATCTGGTCACCCTATGTACTTGGCCCCTGTGCATGGGCAGTGCATAATGGAGGCTGGGGGAGCCTAAGCCTCCCCAAACCTCACATCACTGGGGGGTGGGGGCAGTGAAGGATTTGAGCCCCTGGAAAAATCTCATCCTGCCACAGCCCCAGTGGTGGGGGCACAGCTTTTCTGGTTTCAGGGACACAGAGGGCGGGGGGAGGAGCGAGCAGGGGTGGAGCATTGGGGGAAGAGGCGGAGTGGGGGCAGAACAGGGGCGTGGCCATGGGGGAAGGGGTAGAATTGGGGAGGGGCTCTGGGTTCAGAGCTCTAGCCAGGGCCCAGAGCTCTGCCACTGTCCCAGCTGAGGCTGAGAGCTCTCAGCTGACTCCCCCCATGGCCCCAACCGAGCTCTCAGCCCCCGCTTCCCTGGCTAGGGCCATGGGGGGAAGGGCAGAGCTCTCAGCCCCATCACTCTCCAGCCAGTGTCACGGGGGACTGAGAGCAGCAAGCAGGGACAGAGGCTTGGCTGGAAGGGGTGGGGCCTTGGCCAGAAGAGGGAAGCTTCGCCCACTACTCATGCCCCAATGTGAGTGTGCAAAGGGAACAGAGGCTCCTTGTGTTCTATCCTGTACTTTCCTTGTACTTCTACACAGGGTCTATACATCATCTGGCCCTTTGTGGATATAATTTATTTTCCATGGACTTCATAAAAACAAATGTATGTTTTTGGAGAGCTACTACAAAGTGTTAAACAGGCATTTTCAAAAATATACATTTTAGGGCCAGTCTTCCTTGACGTGTACATGGAAATCTAAGAACAAATTGAACCCTTTTTGGGCAAAACAACAAATCTGCTGGGTTTAGTAGTGGCTCATAGAATGCATGCTGGGGCTTTAGAACAAGGGTTTGCTGGCTGCATCAAGGTTGAACGTTGCAGAACATGAAAGAAGGAAATTAAAATAAGTATCACTATTTGGAAAGACTGTGGCATAAGCTCTACAAACCACTTTGAAGACATTTCTACATCTTATATATGCTATTTCTACAACGTAGGTTTTTTGTTTTTGTTTTTCCAGGATGTATAACAGTAGGACTGCCTTTCAATAGCAGAAATTTTAGCAAGATCTTGCATACTTGTCCACATCAGTGTGATCGTCACAAAGTCATTCTGGAAGCTGAAGAGAGATATAAAAGGGGACTAAAAAAATCGGTTATCTGTAATAACAGTAGTTCTGAGGCTTTTAAGAGTAATTATGAGGATTTTTTATAATAGATAAGGGTATAGTTTAAAAGGTATTTGTAATTAGTAATTTGTTTTGACTGATTCTGATCTAGTAATCTGACATTGGTGTAACTCCATTAACTTAATTGGAGTTAGTCATAATTTATACTGGTGTATACTTGAGATCATAATTAGACCCCTGGTACCTGGGAGTAGAAACTACAGTTAACATCTCTCTTGTGTGTTCCTTGGTAATTGGCTGTATATCCCAGGGCCGCCCAGAGGATTCAGGGGGCCTGGGGCAAAGCAATTTCGGGGCCCCTTCCATAAAAAAAAGTTGCAATACTATAGAATACTATATTCTCGGGGTCCCTGCGGGGCCCGGGGCCTGGGGCAAATTGCCCCACTTGCCCCCCCCTCTGGGCGGCCCTGGTATATCCTCATTATGAACTTGGATGAGGCTGTCTGTCCTCTTAGCCAGAATTAGTAAGTCCCTGCCTTCTACCATTAGGAAAGAGTGAATGAGTGCATGACAGCACAACAAGCCCTTTATCATACCAATATCACTTCCTCAAGGATGTGAGAGGCTTAGAACTCTTGATTGAGAGGGAAATTGCATCCTCAAATACATGTAGCTTTCTACTGAAAAAAGAAGAGACTGGATTTTTAGAATGAAAGATTTTAGCTGATAGCATTTATGATGATGATAAAACGATTGTCCTGTGCTTTCCAGAAATACTGTTGACCCCAGCTAAGAAAGGAAGACTGAATACAGAGTCATCAACCTTCAAGAGCAGAAAAAATCTTGAGGAAAATTTCCAAAGTAAGGACCCAGTCCTGCAACTGAGGCTCATGCAAAAACTTCTTACCCTCTGTTGCTTTTTATTGTATGAGTAATTCTATTGCACGTGTACACAAGGGGTATTTCTACACAAGCCTCCCAGCCCAGATCCAGACTTCTTGTATCAGGGCTTGTGTTAATATGCTAAAAACAGCCACGTAAATGTTGTTTCTATGTTCTGGCTTGGGCTGGAGCTCTGGCTCTGAAGCCCTCCCACCTTAAGAGCCTGAGCCACATTGTAAAAGCAACGTCTACCCAGTTATTTTTAGCATGTTAGTTTGAGTGCCACTAACACAAGTCTGTGGATCCTGGCTTGGAGGCTTGCTCCCAGGTGCTATGTAGACATACCCGTGCAAGACTTAATTGTGAGATCTTTTGTATGGGGAATTATGTCCTCCTCTGGGTACTCTACAATATTAAGCATAACTATGTCACTCCAATAATAAATAATAAGATGGTATCTCATTTCGGTGCAGCAGAAAATAGAGAAATAGGCATTTTTGCTTTTATTAACAGGAGATTGTGGATGGATTTGAAGCAATGGGGTTCCCGAACTGTGGTGGAAGTAGAGCAATAGAGGGCATGCATCTCCCTATTTTGGCACCAGACCACTTTGCTACAGAGTACATAGACAGAAAGGGCTACTTTTCTATAGTTATGCAATTGTTGGCAGATCACCAGGGATGCTTCACCGACATCTGTGTTGGCTGGTCAGGGAAGGTGCATGATGCGTGCATTTTAAGAACACAGAAAATATGCTGCAGAGTGCCTAGTAGTTCTGAAAGCACCCACTTGTTACTGTACAGTGTGACACAACTCATAGGATCAGTGATAGTAATAATCAGACATTTACAGCAAACACCACAAAATCAATAGGTGCATTGACTGTTATATTCATAGATATACATCAAGCACCACACAATTCCTAACAGGCCCCAAAACATCAGGGTCAGGTTGAGCACAGAAAGCTATAAGCAAGGCCTTTCTTTCCTGACTGGGAGATTACTATTGGCAATGTTGAAATGCCTGTAGTGATCCTGGGGGACCCAGCATACCCCTTGGTCCCTGACGCATGAAGCTGTACACCAACCACCTTGACAGCACCAACGAAGGATTCATCTACCTGTAGGTGAAGCTGAATGTGCTTTAGTAGGTTGAAGGGACACTGGCATTGTTTACTCACAAGATTGGATCTCAATGAAAAAAACATCCCAGTAGTTATACCTGACAGCTGTGTCCTGCATAATATCTGTGAAGCAAAGGGGGAGGATTCTTAGGGTCAACATAAATAACAGTGTCTACACTCACACTGCATCAATGTCAGTACATTTGCCCGGGCTCAACGCCACTTGGGGAGGTAGTGTTACTGCATCACTGTAACCGAGCATTTTCATTAGTGGGAGACAAATTTAAGTGTAGACACATGCACAACTATGTCAACATAAGGCAGCGTACATCGCCCTAACTGTAATGTAGACCAAACTATTCACTTCAATGGATTTGCTCCTGATTTCCACTGATGTGAGAGGAGAATCATGCCAGTTTTGTTGAAATGCACATTGACAGGTTACAACAAGATCAGAGTATTCTTGCAGACTTTGTCTATACATATTCACAATTGTGAATTAAGTAAGGAATTTACTAGTAAGTACAAAGTCAGTATTTTAAAGCACTTTTCCTGGAGCATTGTATCGTAAATATTAAATGCAAAAAAAGGGAATTTAGTGACCTCAAGAAATGAAAAGCTTCAGCTTTATAACCTAGGAGGCTGAAGTCTTCTACCCATTCACAGAACAGGCACAGTGCAGGACAGCAGCAGTTGCCCCTGTAACTGCCTCCCAATAATTTGCATAAACCTTACGTACCAACAACTTTCAGAATGAGAAGGGAGTTCAATATTCATGGCTCATTCATTCTTTAGTCTCTTTCCCTTTATTCCCTTTATTGGTTACTGGTGCCATTTGTGATAAGAGGAATCTTGGTGTGATGTATACATCTGCACTAGGGCTGTCAAGTGATTAACAAAATGAATCGCGTGATTAATCGCACTGTTAATAATAGAATGCCATTTATTTAAATATTTTTGATGTTTTCTACTTTTCAAATAAATTGATTTCAATTACAACACAGAATACAAAGTGTACAGTGCTCACTTTATATTTATTTTTATTACAAATATTTGCACTGTAAAAAAACAAAAGAAATAGTATTTTTCACCTAATAAAAGTACAGACGTGCAATCTCTTTATCATGAAAGTTGAACTTACAAATGTAGAATTATGTACAAAAAAAACCTGCGTTCAAAAATAAAACAATGTAAAATTTTAGAGTCTGCAAGTCCACTCCGTCCTACTTCTTGTTCAGCCAATCGGTCAGACAAACAAGTTTGTTTACATTTGCAGGAGATAATGCTGCCCGTTTCTTGTTTACAATGTCACCTGAAAGTGAGAACAGGCATTCTCATGGCACTATTGTAGTCGGCATAGCAAGATGTTTACGTGCCAGATGGCTAAAGATTCATATGTTCCTTCATGCTTCAACCACCATTCCAGGGGACATGCGTCCATGCTGATGACACGTTCTGCTCGATAACAATCCAAAGCAGTGTGGACCGACACATGTTCATTTTCATTATCTGAGTCAGATGCCACCAGCAGAAAGTTGATTTTCTTTTTTGGTAGTTCGGGTTCTGTAGTTTTTGCATTGGAGTGTTGCTCTTCTAAGACTTCTGAAAGCATGCTCCACACCTCATCCCTCTCAGATTTTGGATAAACCTTGGGTCGAGTGCTGTTGCTATCTTTAGAAATTTCACATTAGTACCTTCTTTGCGTTTTGTCAGATTTGCAGTGAAAGTGTTCTTAAAATGAGCAACATGTGCTGGGTCATAATCCGAGACTGCTATAACATGAAACATATGGCACAATGCAGGTAAAACAGAGCAGGAGACATACAATTCTCCCCGAAGGAGTTCAGTCACAAATTTAATTAACACATTTTTTTTTAATGAGCATCATCAGCATGGAAGCATGTCCTCTGAAAAGGTGGCCAAAGCACGAAGGAGCATGCTAATGTTTAGCATATCCGGCACATAAATACCTTGCAATGCCGGCTACAAAAATGCCATGCAAATGCCTGTTCTCACTTTCTGGTGACATTGTAAATAAAAAGAGGGCAGTATTATCTCCTGTAAATGTAAACAAACTTGTTTGTCTTTGCGATTGGCTGAACAAGAAGCAGGGCCGGCTCTAGGCACCAGCAAAACAAGCTGGTGCTTGGGGCGGCACATTTTTAGGGGCGGCATGGCCGGCGCAGAATGCCGCCCCTAAAAATGTGCCCCGGC